TTCCTTTCTTCCTTTCTTCCTTTCTTCCTTTCTTCCTTTCTTCCTTTCTTTCTTCCTTTCTTTCTTTCTTTGTTTTGATGCGGAGCCTAGCTCTGTCGCCCAGGCTGGAGTGCAGCGGCGCGATCTCGGCTCACTGCAGGCTCCGTCCGCCTCCCGGGTTCGTGCCATTCTCCTGCCTCAGCCTCCCGAGTAGCTGGGACCACAGGCGCCCACCACCATGCTCGACTAACTTTTTGTATTTTTTAGTAGAGACGGGGTTTCAGTGTATTAGCCAGGATGGTCTCGATCTCCTGACCTCGTGATCTGCCTGCCTCGGCCTCCCAAAGTGCTGGGATTGCATGCATGAGCCACCGTGCCCGGCCCAATTTTTAAATTTTTTGTAGAGACGGGATCTCACTATGTTGCCCAGGCTGATCTCACACCCCTAACTTCAAACGATCCGACCACTTCAGCCTCCAAAGCTACTATAAGGGTAGCCAAACCTACCCTTATAGTCAGTGTAGGCAGTACTCGTGCTCACCGGGAGAGGGCACCATCCAGGCAAGGACAGCTTGTGCAGAGGCGTGAAGGGAGCGCGTGGCTCCTCTCCTAGGCCACGGACCACACCTTCCTCCAGAAGAGCCACTATCACCATGGTGACCACCCCAGCTATGCCAAGCCCCGGCTGCCCCTGCCCGTGTTCACCGTGCAACATTATGCAGGGACTGTCACCTACCAGGTACCTGGCCTCAGGGACAGACCAGGGTGAATCAGCGAGGGCAGTGTCCCCTCCCAAGCTGAGTCACCCAACAGCGGAGAGGAGTGGGTGTGGGGAGGCCCCTTGCAAGGCTTGGACACCTGCCCCTGCCTGAGCCATGGGCCCTGCCCAGTTCTGAGCATAGTTTACTGAGTTCTAGGTGACAATAATGGGGTCAGGGAGTGGAAGCCTTGGGGCCCTCCAGACAAGTGGGCAGAGCACAAGCCTGGGACCTGATGACCTTGGCAGTTTACTTCACCTTCTGAGCCTCCATTTCCTCACCTGTGAAATGGGCTTGGAGACCTAAGCTCTGGCATTGCTGTGAGGGTTAGATGTACTAATGTGGAGATGGCCTGGCAGGTGCCTGGCACAGGGTAGGTGCTCACTGAATGAACTTCCCTTCCCCCTTCTGAGTTCTATGCCTACCAAGAAGCTGCACGCATGCCTACCCCAGGAGGAGAGGCACTGGGGATGGGGGAGTGGGGGCTGGAATAAAGGGAAGGACAGGAGGGAGAATCAGTTCTCCTTGAAGGAGATGGCACGCTTGACTTGGAGAAGAAAAACTACAAACTACCCAGGAGTTGCCCCCCAAAAAAGAAATACAAGGAGTTCAAGAAAGCTAGAAAAATGTAAATCAAAAAAGCTTTAACGTGGAGAGGCAGGCAACATTCTTGTCTAGTCAAGCTATTGACTAGCACAGGTTAAAGCCCCAGTGGGGAGAGCGGGGTATTGCTGGGGACTGGACTTTTCCATGCAGTGGAATGGAAAGTCCAGTGACATTCCATGGCTAGCTAAAGGACTGGAAAATCACCAAGGCAGCCTTTCAGGTCACCTGGGGAGAGGGTAGATTCTTCTCCTCCATACCCAGCCTCCCCTCCTTGGTTCCTGCTCCCCTCCCTTTCTCCGCTTCCCTCCCCGCCTGCATGGTCTCTTGTAGGTTCACAAGTTTTTAAACAGAAACCGGGATCAGCTGGACCCTGCCGTGGTGGAGATGCTTGGCCAGAGCCAGCTCCAGGTGCCCATCTGCCCTTCCAGGCCCCCACCTGCTCCATACTTTTTCCCCTAATTCTGTCTTTTTCCTCCTGGGTGCTCTTGCCCAAGGGTTGGCCCTCAAGTCTGTGGCACCTTGGGCCATGGGCTGAGCTTGCCAGGGTCTGGATGCTGAGGGCTGGCCCATTCTGGCTCTCCTGGGCTGCAGGGTGGATGGGCAGGCCCCAGCAGCCAGCTGGCTCAGCTCTTCACCCCCACAGCTGGTGGGCAGCCTGTTCCAGGAGGCAGAGCCCCAGTCCAGGGGAGGGCGAGGCAGACCCACGCTGGCCTCTCGCTTCCAGCAGGCCCTGGGGGACCTCATAGCCCGGCTGGGCAGGTGAGAACAGCGGCAGCCACACCAGACCCCAGGGAGTTATATGGGGCACTGGTCTGTGCCCAAGTGACCCCCCTTTCCCTCATCAGGAGCCATGTCTATTTCATACAGTGCCTCAACCCTAACCCTGGAAAGGTGAGCTCCCCAGCAACTGGCCTCGGGACCCTCCCCCGCCCTGCACCTCCCTCCGCACAGCTCCAGGCCCCTTGACTCCAGCTGTCTTTGGCTCTGTCTTGTGGCCACAGCTTCCAGGCCTCTTTGACGTGGGACATGTGACAGAGCAACTGCACCAGGCAGCCATACTGGAGGCCGTGGGCACCCGCAGTGCCAACTTCCCCGTGCGTGTGCCCTTTGGGGCCTTCCTGGCCAGGTGGGGCCCAGCACCTCAGGGCAGGACTGACAAGGAGGCCCCGGGAGTGACCGGCAGCCCTGGGGGTCCTTCCGATTGGAGATGGACTCACTCTGTCCAGGACTGGGCCTAGCCCCCAACCCTTCTTCTGTCTCCTCGTCCTCTCATCCTCTTTCTCTCTCTCTCTCTCTCTCCATCTCACTCTCTTCGACCATTCATTTCTTCTCCTCTCTGCAAACCTTTCCTGTGCTGATTCCCCGGGCACCAGAGATGAGGTGGGAGCAGTACCTGCCCTGGGCGGGGCTCACAGTCTAATACCCACGGCAGCTGTCCAGGAAGTGCAGGCTGAAGCAGTGAGATGGGAGGGGGGACGGAGTGAGAAAAGAGCCTTTCAGAAGGGCAGGAGGGGCGGGGTGGCACACGGAGCTGCCCGGAACCCGGAGGCGGCTTTGTTCCCGGAGTTCAGAAACCTCGAGAAAAGCTGGAGACATTGTCTGTTTTGTTGTTTGCCTATCTGGCCTTTGGCTAGTGACTGGATGACCTCTTGGGAATCCTCTGAAGGGCTGGAGTTTCCCCCAAGGACAGGGACAGAGTGGGCAGGTGGAGTCACTTCTCGTTGATGTCCAGCCGAGCTGGGCTGGTGGCTGCCCAGAAGGGAGGTGGCGGTTGCTAGGAGCAGCAGCTTCACCCTGGGGCTCTGCAGACCTCCTTAGCCTGTGATGGCCTTGGCAATGGGGATGGCCTGGTTGGGGGACTGAGCCGAAGGCAGGCAGTAGGGATGGGTGTGCCCAGCCTTGAGTCAGATCCTGAGAAGCTCCAGGGCGGAGCATGTTCAGTCTCTGCCATCTGGAAACCTACTAGCTACGGCAATTGTCACCTCCAACAAGAAGCCCTGAGCCCGGAAGCTGGGTGAGAGGAACTTCGAGGTACAACTCTCCACCCAGCACAGACCAGGTCTGCTGATCTGTACCATTCCCTGATGCACTGTGGCATCCCGTGACCACAGACTGTCACCCATGTGTCCCCAGAACCTGCAGAGTGCTTTCTTGGTATGGACTAACTACTGAGTGTCCATTGAGCCAAACTGGTACCACGATCTGGACCTGTGAAGTGTCCTTCAACACTCCCCCACCCACCCCTTCCTGCCATGCCCCTCCCTCCCTTCCACACCCCTCCCTCCCTTCCACACCCCTCCCTCCCTTCCACACCCCTCCCTCCCTCCTTCCCACATCCCTCCCTCCCTCCCACAAACTTGTCTTGAGACCCACTGTGTTGGGTGGCAAGGAGACTAAGGCCTTGGGAACCACATTCCTGTTGCTCCCGTGGCCCAGAACCAGCCCTCATGCCTCCTGGGCACACCGTGTTCACCTGTTTTCCCCCTGAGCTCCAGCACAGACGCCCTCCCTGCCCAAGTTCACTGCAGTGTCTCGGCGCCCAGCTGAGCATCTGGCATAGAGCAGGCAACTTCCAAGTTTTTTAATGATCTAGAAATGGAATAAATACCAAGGGGCTCAGGGTGTCGCACAGCAAGTGTGAAAGGACTGGGCGCGCTGGCTCACGCCTGTGATCCCGGAACTTTGGGAGGCCGAGGCAGGCGGATCACCTGAGGTCGGGAGATCAAGACCAGCCTGACCAATATGGAGAAACCCCATCTCTACCAAAAATACAAAATTAGCCGGGCATGGTGGCGCATGCCAGTAATCCCAGCTACTCAGGAAGCTGAGGCAGGAGAATCACTTGAACCTGGGAGGTGGAGGTTGTGGTGAGCCGAGATTGCACCATTGCACTCCAGCCTGGGCAACAAGAGCGAAACTCTCTCTCAAAAAAAAAAAAAAAAAAAGTGTAAAAGGAGGTTCTGGCTATTCTGACGTCAGCTTCATCCTTGGAGCAGGTTCCAGGCCCTGGGCTCGGAAGGGCAGGAAGACCTCTCTGACCGGGAGAAGTGTGGTACCATCCTGAGCCAGGTGCTGGGGGCCAAATCACCTCTCTGTCACCTCGGAGCCACCAAGGTGGGTGTGTGTATCCCTGTGTGCAGAGGGCAGCATGAATGGGAAAGGAGAGATGCAATCTGGGCCCAAAGGGACAAACCCAGGATTTGGGGATCCATCCAAGTGGTGGGAGACAGAAGGACTGGGTGCCAGGCTGGCCCCAGCACCCCAGAAGAACAAATGGTTTGGCTGGAAGGGAAGAGGCTGAGACCAGAGAAGGAGAGCAGGCGGGGCTGGCTCCTGGCTCCTGCCTACAGCCTGCACCTCTGCCCACAGGTCCTGCTGCAGGAGCAGGGCTGGCAGCGGCTGGAGGAGCTCCGGGACCAGCAGCGCTCCCAGGCCCTGGTCAACTTGCACCGTAGCTTCCACACCTGCATCTCCCGCCAGCGCGTCCTGCCCCGGGTGCAGGCTCGCATGCGTGGGTTCCAGGCCAGGTCTGCAAGCATTGGAGCCAGGGCTGAAGTGGGTGTGGTGAGGCTGTGTGGGCTCATCCTCCAGGTGGTGGGGCAAGGTTGGGGAAACATAGTGCCTCAGGGCAAGTCATCCTGCCCCATCGGCATGTGACTGTCCTTGACGGCATTCCCCCCATACCCATGCAGCCTCTGCTTGAATACCCCAGTCACGAGAAACTCATTACCTGTTGAGGCCACCTGAACCTATGGTCCTGACTCCTTTATCATTCTCTTTTCTAGTCTGTTTTCCACACTGTGGGAATAATCTTTTTTTCTTTTCTTTTCTTTTCTTTTTCTTTTTTTGAGACGGAGTTTTGCTCTTGTTGCCCAGGCTGGAGTGCAATGGCACAATCTCAGCTCACTGCAATCTCTGCCTCCTGGGTTCAAGCCTCTCAAGTAGCTGAGATTTTTGTTTTTTTTTTTTTTTTGAGACCGAGTCTGGCTCTGTGGCCCAGGCTGGAGTGCAGTGACGCGATCTCAGCTCACTGCAAGCTCCAGCTCCCGGGTTCACGCCATTCTCCTGCCTCAGCCTCCCGAGTAGCTGGGACTACAGGCGCCTGCCACCACGCCCG